TCACCGTTACAACCTAAGGACGGCTGAGTTTGAATTTCGTGAAAATCGGCCCAAAACTGACAGACAAAATGGCCGCTCTTCGTTCTCAAATAGCGTAAAAATATGGTTTATCAAGGTTGTGGACCCTATAGAGGTCACAATTTTTATCTGATTTTGATGAAACTTGAAATGTAAGTTTATAACCTAAAGATCTCGGTTCCTTTCAATATTCGAGCATATCGAATTGTAATTTCCTGAATTATGGCCTTTGATTGCAGGAAAAATCACTTTCTTTCCATCTTTCGAAAGTGTGGGCGTATCCTGCCAGGCAGCCGCTTGTTGGATATTTCAAAGCCAAAATGACATGGATCTTAATGAATGATTACATTATCAAGATAATGATGTGGGTAGTATGTATAAAATAACCAAGCGGATTCCCTCACCCAGATTCGAAATAAAGTTATACCTCCATTTCACTGGGCCACGGAAATCCGCAAGTATACCGCAAAGTCCGTAAGTCTTTCCTCTCACTCCGTATGGCTCCGCCAGGAAGCGCAGTGAATCCGTAGTCATTCCTCGTGGTCTACAGACTTTTGCGAGCCCAAATTGTTCCGCGAACGTTCCTTTAAATATCGTTTGCGGAAAAATATTCCGTGCTCTTCCGCAATTAAACCGGGATCGATCCGAGAGTCTTCCGCTGTTATTCCGTATACAAACGTAGTTGCCGCAAGTTGTCCGCATGTATACCGCAGGCATTCCGTCACTTCCCGCGGGTGTTACATGGTTGCGGATGACCTTCGTTCATGTAAGGAAGAATACGGAAGACCTTCGCCTGCGAAAGGAAAGCGCGGTATATCACGGAATGTTTACGGAAAAGATGCGGATGAGACGCACAAGAACGAGGAATAGCCGGTCTGACGACAGATTAGTTACGAATTAGGCGCGGTTAATATACGGGTTATTTGTGTACTGCATGCGGTACGCGAGGACTACTTGCAGAAGCGGCGAATCCATCGCGGATTGTTTGCGGACTTCCCGCGGAAAAAAATTTCAGGGTATAGAATCCGTGGAAAGTCGACCTCCATTTATAGATATTTCTACCTCGACGGCAGAGCTGCGGAAAAAAAATCACGGAAAAATTGCGGAACACATGGGAATGAGCACGGAAGACATAAGGATAATTTGTGGGTCACACTCGACAGTAGCGGAATAACTGCGGTATCTGGCGATACTAATCCGCTTGGCACGGTAGAACTGCGGAATAATCGCTAAGTACTTGCGTTCTACGCGGAATAAATGCGCAACAAGTGCGGACGATCTTCGGCATCAGCGTTTGGTCTCGGATCAATCACGGCGTACCTTCGGAAAAATTGGTAAAGAGCATTTGATTTGCACGTGATTTCGCCTATAAAATTGTTGTTTTGAAGAGGAAAGCACATTATACCATGGAGGACCCTAACGACGACAACGAACTCCTCAACGCCTTGCTGCTGCTTCATGAATACAGCAGTTTGAAACGAGAAGTTAAACTCCGAGAAAAAAAGCAACCAAGGAGAGGGGCTTAAACGCTTTGTCCTCCAATGCAAACTCTTCGTACCTTCGAAGCCCACATGAAATGCCCGAAATGTTAGCCGTCCTGCTACTGCTTGCAGTGTCTGTGTGTACTGGTGTCGATGTAGAGGTCGAAGCGCACGCCACAGAAGGCCAACTGGCTGGTCTGGTTGACTGTTGTTCCTTGTGAAGCTTAGATAATGCTCCTGATGTCGAAGGCTGCGGGCACTGCTGAGCCAACCATTGGGAGTCTTGTGACCCCCTCACGGACACTTGAGGACCGGACAACAACTGGGGCCACTGGGAAGGTGGAGGCTGCCAGAACTGTTGTGGGTGTTGCAAAAAGGGCTGGGGCTGCTGATGAGGACGGCTTCGAGGTGGTGGTGCATTAATGACCGGAAGATGCAAATCAGGTTGCCGCTGGGGTTGATGCTGCTGTTCAAGTGGTGCTGAGGCTTGAGACTGCTGGATTTCCAGGGCTTCTGCTCGGCCAGAACATTCGTCCATGAGGGCCATGATCTTCGATTTGGCATACCGGTAAACAGGCTTAGGTAGGGTGTTGAGAGCAGATGCCACCCAGTTGGCAAAGGAGGCCCTTTCAGCATCATGGATGGACATCACTTCTTTTTTCTTTTCAATGAGTTGCTCAGCCACCATCAGTAGTCTATCAGCCCGACAGTCGCTAGTTGATTCAGAGCCGCCAAATTGATGTTTCCCGCGACTAGTGATGCTTGATGTGGAGACAGGTGTAGTAGCTGATGGCGTGGTAGCTCCTGTGATGACTTGCAGGGGTGCATCAAGTAGTTCTGGCAGCTCTGTACCGTCCTGTATATCTTCCGAGTCTTGGTGCAAGACCTGTTGGAGTGGCTCGGAACCAGCAGTAGAAATCTTCGCTCTCATGGAGACAACGTTCCGCCTCTGGACCTCTATTATATGGGGACAGATTAAGCCAAAACTCTGATAAATCCAGCGATCCCTCTCTCACATGGTGATGTCCGCTTGTCCCGACTTCAATCGTCGCAATTTACCCAGTCTGGTCCGGACGCTGTAGAACCACTTCTTTAGTTCCTCTTCGCTATTACCCATCAAGTTGACCTGATCTGCCCAAAGCTTTGCCTTACCCTGCTTGTCTAACCATGCCCTCAGTTTCTTATTATACAAACAAGCATTTGCCCTTATCAACTCCACCATCAGCTCGTCGGTGAGCTTTATGAATGTCCGTGCCTTCTTAATGAGACCAGTGTCAGAAACAACAGCACTGTCATACTCTTCTTCCTGGTCTAGTGGTTCAAAAGAACGTTTGCGGAAAATTTTGGGCGCGCGGAAGGCTGCGGATGATGTGGAATGAATACGGATTCACTGCGCTTCCTAGCGGAACAATACGGTACAACAGTAAGGACATGCGGTACTTTGCGGTATAATTGCGGATTTGCTTCCGCAAGTCTTCTGCGGTCTAGTGAAATGGGGATAAGTCCGTGCTTTCTGTCTTCAAAACAGTGATTTTATCGGCGGAATCCGGAGTCAACCTTTGATCTTTACCGATTTTCCGCAGGTACGAAACGCGGTTGCCGAAGATGGTCCAAGCTTGTTCCGCAGTCATTCCGAAGTTCTACCTTGCCAAACGGATTAGTACGCCAGCTACCGCAGTTATCCCGCGTATTTTCCGCCATTGCCGAGTGTAGCCCACAAGTTGTCCGAATATCTTCCGTGACGATCCGGGCGCATTCCTAAGTGTTGCGCAGTTTCTCCGCCGCTTCGCCGTGATTTGTACCGTAGTTTAGCCGTATGTGTTCCAAAGATACCGTGACTGTTCCGAATGTATTCTGAGTGCGTGTGAAATGGACATTTTCCGTGGAATTTTTTTTCCACTTTTCCGCGTAAAAATGCCGAAGCTCTTCCGTAGAAGCCATTCCGCGGACGTCCGTGAGTATCGCAGTGAAATGGGGGTATTAGCAAACATATTCGTAGCACCAATAAAAACCTATATATATTTATCACGATTATGATTGTTAACCTTTATATTAGAAAATAGCATTTAGTTACATATTAATGCAAAGTATATATAATAGATAAATATGAAAAAAAAACTATTACCGTAAACATACTAAAATATCGCACACTAGGCTAACTGAGAGAGCAACTAGTTCTACCCCGTTCCCAATACGTCTGCAATTGGTTCTAACTAGGTCAAACGTCCTTTTCTCGTCCTTATTGCGTTCGAACGCTCTCCTATTGCGTGTGCAATCCCGTCCTGGCTCGGGGGCTATAAAAACCCATCGAGTTCTTGCCATTCGTTTTCCGGTTTAACGCTTCGAGCCGTGGTGGTCAAGCTGCCATTACACCAAACTAGTTCTCACTACGTTCTGGAAAATGTTGGTAAACGGGCTCAAACTGTATGCGAGCGGAGTCAACGTAGTAGCAACAGTTTACGGTATGTTTAAAAGACTCTGTGTACGAGCTCGAGCTGACAGAGTGCTCTAGAACTTTGAACCATTATCAAAATTCTGCCCGCCCTGCAATTAGACGGAGGGGCAACGTTCTTAAAACGACATGGACGTACTTGGAACGGAATTGCCGTACTATGAATGGAATGACACCGTACTTCGATCCTCCTTGGGACGTGTTACAACGTGACGTGGTCAATAGCAATACTTTATTTATTTTATTTTATTTCTTGTGGGTAGGTGATTGTTTTAAAATGTTTTTCTTATTGTATATCATATATTTTTACTAGTATTAAATTTGTAGGGTTGTGGTACTAATTCATTTTATGGAGGATAAAATCATTGCTATTTAGACCTTTTTGCATAATTTAAAAACCTATAATTTATACTTAATTACTTTTTAATGTTAATGCGTGCAAGTATAAAACTTTTGCATAATTTAAAAACCCATAATTTATACTTAATTACTTTTTAATGTTAATGCGCGCAAGTATAAAACTTTTCATATTTGAGTTTATTATTGGGGTGTTCATTTATTTATTTCTATAATTTAATGTGGATGGAGCCATCGTCTAAGCATTCTTTTAGTTCTGAATGGTTGTAGATCTGGACATCAGACTGGCTTCCACACCCACCAATATCTATCCACATGAATTTGTAATCTGCATTTACCAAGGCCATTAACACTATTGGGCAGAAACCTTTGTGGTACATGGTTCCAGTCTTCGGAGGCTGTCAGGGCTATATGTTTCCCATCCAGGGCACCACAGGCATGTGGGACATTCCATGTGTCTCTGTCAGTAGATAGGATGGTTATCTTCTCATTAGTTATGAAGTTTGTATTACCAGGAATAACAATGAATCAGTTCGTTTTAACATTTTATATATCAAGGACTGGTTACACAAGATACAAGTATATATTACAATCAAGTCATTCTCTCAATCCCATTCATCCAGACTTACTATATAGTTGCAATGTATATCATGCCCATAATGAAACCTATTTTTTATTTTGTTTGTAGTTAATAGAAATGGCTGAAGGTGGAAGACACGTGCCTACTCGAGGTTGTCTACCAGAATCCGACATTATTCAGACAAACTTTGTATTCTTAAAGAATGCCCTGTCTAGCAAACCAATTGATTTGCTGGATGCTTTGTTCTCCAAAAAGGTCTTTGATTCTGACGACGTAGAAAAAATCCACAAAAAAGAACCACAAGGTAGTAAGGCTATAGCCGGTGAAATACTTCAAGTTCTAATGGGGTGTGGCCCAGGAGCTTACGGAAAGTTTAAGGATTGTCTTAGAGAAACTAATTTCAAACAGGCACTTCAGAGAATTGAACCCGGTAAGTGTGAAATTCACGTACGTTTCCATTCCAGTGGGACAAGGAGTAGGGTCGAGTGTACAACCTCGTGGGTTGCCCCCACCCTCACTGCTAAAGACCACAGGCGCAAGAGAATTATTGAAATAAAATCGAACCATATGTTAGTCCAGAAATGACCTAGTTAGTATTGGGTGGACATTAAACTCTCCCGTTGTCCTATATTGTATAACTCAGAATTTTGGTTCCGCTCGGCAGTTGGTATACATACATGTCGATGAGTTGGCCTACATTCTTCAAATAAACTGAACTACATGTACCTTAGATAACAAACTTCATCTCTCAACCTTCCGTGTTTCGAGATAAGAGATGGTGCTATATAGTTCCACGTAGCAAAGCCTAACGCGAATCACATCGGGGCTCAGTAAGCAAAATTGACAATATTTTTCTTTAAAAAAAAACGCTTTATTAATTTAAACCCGAATATTTGGAGTTAGGCGATAGTGGTGCCACTACATTGGTCTCTGTAAGTTTAATTAGTCGTCATAGTATAAATTTATCCTATTTTTAAGATGTTACATGTATTAATAAAGAAATTGAGTTTGCCACTTGGAACTAAAGGCACCCAATCGTAGCTAAAAACAAGCACATCAGTATATCTCAACGTTTTTAGCTATGTTCTCGTAGCTACATGTACCTATCACACTGTTTTACAAGATATTTGAAATTCTCTCTTGAACACAATTTATAAATATACATTTTAGGTACAACTACCAGCTTGCCCAGTACACAAAAGAAACCTGAACGTGTATGTTTTAAACTCCAAAATGGTTTAAAAGTAAATATTTGTGATGGTGATTTATTAGACGCACATGCTAATGTCTTGGTGTGCAGTAATTATGGACGTGATGAAGCAGAGGGTGAAATAGCTAAACGAATAAAAGAGGGTGGTGGTAGGGGTTATGCAATCTCTTTGGCCGAACTGTACAGAAAGGAAAAGAGATTAAGTGATTGGAAAGTGTATCAAACATGGGCTGGGGATTTAAACTTTAAATGTGTATATCAAGCCAAGATCCCACCCTACATTTCTGACGGTATTACAGCTTGGTTATCCAATCTTAAAAAGTTGTATTCAAGGATTTTACAGAAGGCCAGTAAAGAAAAATATGTTAGCATAACCCTGCCTGTGCTTGGTGCAGGTAAGTTAAAGTAATTTAGGAACGGGGAGGTTTGTAATAAAGATACCTGCTTTAACGTAACTGGTCGAGATATTCCACCTTTTTGTAAAAAATGGTACACATTCTATTCAAATCATTCTATTAAAGATACATTATGGTAGATTCGATAACGAGTTGGCAGTTCTCACTATAATAATTAAAAACTAGATAATGTAAAGGCAATTTGCTGAAAATTTCATTCAAATTCATCCACTATGAACCGAGAACTAAGCGATTGAAATTTCCGCCTAGCCTCGATCATCATTACTAAAGTCAGTACGATAAACAGCATAGTCTCGATTATCCATTTAATCGTTAAATCGTGAAGGAAAGTTATGCAGTAAATCGGCTCATAATCCACTAAAAATCACAGGCTAGCGATGCCATCTAGAATTGATTATGGTTATGGTCTGGATAGGTTAATTAATGTCTAATTAATAATTTAGATAACATTTCCGGCCTAAAGAAAGACCTACAATAGACAGATTTAGCTCTTGCATAATGTATGTTTAAATAACTGGTCATCCAGTGAATATGGAATTTAATTTAGTTATAATCGTTTTATTAGATGTATTCTTTAATCAATTGTAAACAAAGTTTGTCCAAATTATAGATTTTACAGGTGGATCAACAGAACTGTGTATCGAGGAGACTATTAATGCTCTAAGTGAACACAACCGGGAATATCTGAGGCAAGTTAATATTGTGTCAAATGACAATTCATCCTTGCAAAAACTGCGAAAAGATTTAAAATCCATTGCTTCGAAATCAACTTCAACGACCACAGAAAATGGTATAGATGTGGAAGATATTATGGAAAATATTGGAGACTTCTTTACAGATATCTACTACAATGTTACCGATTTCTTTGATTCGGACGCAGTTCAAAACGGCGTGGGCAAACTTAAAAACGTTGTAAAAAAGATACCAAGACTAAAGATCAAAAACAGTCCAAAACATGACAATGATTTGGGTAAGACCATGTCTTCGAATCAGTTTTCTCCGAGTTCCTAGCAATACTAGGTTAAATAGATAACAAATTAATTCAATGATCATCACTATTAACAAAAAGATCTAACAGTCTGATTAATGTAAATTCCCTAACGATTAACTTTTAAACACGTGTGGGAGACACGCCTACTATTTGTCGATCACCCGAATACAACAATTTATTATAAGAGCCTTATATACTCAGCCAAATTAAAAACTTGACACTCGGGATTTTTGGGACTAGATTTTTAATATTTGGTTTAAGGCAACTATTTTAGTGTTATGTTGTGCACAGACGACCTTGATATCAACAGAAAGCAAGAATACGTCTCGCCGAAAGTCCTTGACATTGATAACGTTCGTGATGTCACAGTACCCCCCAAAATGAAATTCACAGACTTGGAGAACAATCGGAATAAAGTGTTTAGTAACGGTTGTGGCCTCCTCTAGCGTCTCGTACTGCCACACAACGTCTTCTCATGGATCTCAGAACATTAGTAAACACTACCCGAGGAAGACGTCGCCACTGCTTAGCAAGAGCATGTTGAAGGTCCTGCAAAGTCAGTGGTGGATTCACTTGCTGACGAACACGTCGACCCAGTTCGTCCCAGATGTGTTCAATAGGATTAAGGTCGGGGCTAAGCGACGGCCAATCATCTTTATATGCTCAAAAGTCACGTGATCCACGTGACTTTACAATTTTATGAAATTAAAGGCTTCTTACTACTTACTATCGTTAGAAACACTTTAAAATTTATTTGACTTACCAGAAAAAAAAAATTGTTGAAATTCATCAGTGTCAAGTTTTTAATTTGGCCGAGTATACAATTACAAAATTACATAATTTACGCTAACAGTACGTCTAGATTACAGTTAACGATACATTCCTGCTCGTGCCCCTCTCCCACTCATTAAACTATTTCTTCAATTTTAGAAAACGAACAATGCACCACGGTCCAATATGAATTACAAAATGGCGTCGTAGTTTTTGTTTACAAGGAAGACGTGGTTGAAATTGATGCTGACATACTTGTCTGTTATATGTATGGAACACCTGCATGTGAAGGACAGATTGGTAGAAGTCTTCGGGACAAAGGCGGAGAGAAATATGTAGATTCTTTGGACAAGTTACTCAAAAGGGCAGGCGGTCTTTCAAAATGGCGGATGTATCCCGTGGATTCCGGAGATCTCCAATTCAGAGAAGTATATCAGGCGATAATTTCCTCGAATCATGTCATGAATGATTGGTTGGCGAATCTTCAAGATCTTTATCAGTTCATACTGTCTACAGCTGATGAGAAGGGATACAAATCCATAACATTCCCTGTTGCAAATACAGGTATTGATATCTGTACTATTAAACAATACACTTGTTATATATTACTTTCTGTGATATAATTTAGCCTGTCTCGTAATATTCACCATATGTTTGGCGCAATATATCCCGGTTGGAGCTGACGTGCCATAAAACCACATTTCATTTGTTATATTACAATGTGTTAGTCAGTTTGGTTGGCCCATTTGATAACAGACAATAGAATCCATGTCGAAACGTCGCTCAGTAATACATACTCATTTTAGTCTAGAGTATCGCTACCTTTCTTTACCCTCTTTGGCTTACCGTTTTGTTGACCATGTTGAATTATGGTTATAGCTAATAGGACACAGGGCACCATTAAAAGCCAACATCTATAATCATTTTTATTTTAGTTTTTTTCTCTGCCTTTTCCAAGGCGATTTTACTTTTTGGGATGAAATCGAAAAAAAAGGGTTTGAAAGTACATTTTCTGTTAGTTTTTTGTGAAGATGCAGGATTTTGAGTTGGGGGTAGCAGGATTAAGTGATTGGTTACATTGATGAAATGGAGGACGGACAGTGTGTGTCGTGCATGCAATCACTCGCTTGCAGATGACTTTTTAGATCGGATTTGTGGTTAATTCACTTTAAATCCGCTGATTCTATTAAGACATTACATTTTACACAAATCTAAATTATTTCAGATGTGATTGACAAAAGTATTGAAGGTCTGGTTAACTCTATACAGAATTATACAGTATCGAGTATCCGTAAGGTCAATATCGTCACCAATAACTCTACGACCATCACAAAATTAGGGAAATATTTAATGTGGGAATGTGTCACTACCAGAAGTTCCGATGACCAAGATTTAACAGATGATACGGAGATGGACGAAATAATAGATATTGATGTGTATAAAACAAAAGATGGACAGGAGAATGAAACTGAAGACATTGAAGGTAAATATGGTGGATTTCTGTTGACTTATCATACTGAATTATAATTTACCCAAAATGGGCAGTAATTTATGCGCTAGATCTAGGATTTCCAACACACTCAGAAAGCATACACATTTGTTCCGACAATAATAGCAGTTTTATGATGGGCAATATTACAATCACTCACGGTAAATACCATCGTCTTGATCGAGCTAACTCTTACGAATAATCCTAATGAATATTTGGAATTTAAAAAAATAGAAAAGTAAATCAGGAAAGAAATTATGGCATAAATTTAAATGGGCTGCTTGCCAGTCTCTTGAACATATAGTCTCAAATGTGATATCCTGGTTGTCCATCACCACGTATGATCTAACGCGTGCGCTTTTGGTCTAGTATGATTACGCGTGGTTTATTCATAATTCCAATTTCCAAAACATCCTCATTCTCAACTCCTCTTTTCCAACCTTTGCAGCACCTGCTCAAACACCTATCACCACATGTACCACGTGACACAAGCAGCAGACGACACACTTCATAACGTTAAACGCAGAAATAATATCTTGTCTATCTAGATTTTTTATTCTATTTTAGACTCCAACATCTCTACCATGGCACACTCGTCACATAAATTATCCAATGGTTTAGTTGTACACTTACGCCAAGATGACGTCGTTGATATTCATTCTGACGTCATAATCACTAGTAATTATGGGAAAGCAGAAGACGAAGGGGTTATTGCTAAACGACTCCGAAAGAAAGGTGGCGTTGAATACGTTAACTCATTGAAGAGCTTAGTTCAAGATATCGATGGTTTTGAGGACTGGCATATTTATTCTAGCAAGCCTGGAGATCTACAATTCAGTGAAGTATATCAAGCGATAATTCCCCCGAATCCTTCAGCTGATGTCATGGATGATTGGTTATCCAATCTACGAGGACTTTACAGTCAGATACTGACCACAGCTGATGCACAGGGATATACATCTATAACATTACCGGTTCTAGGTTCAGGTAGGTCTAATCTCAGTTCTTTACTGGCATATAAAATGGTTGACCAATCGGGATCTTATTTGTTAATTAAATACGCCCACTCTCCAGACAACAAATTCCTGAATCCATACTTTGGTGTCGCCTCTTGTCTATATTTGCTCTCTCAGAGGGTCTGGGCCAATTGTCTACTTTTGACACAGTTTTAATGGATAATCAACCACATAAAAAAAACTGTGAAACGTAACTTTTTAGCCAAAATCAAGAAGGAGTTGCACCCCATTCCGAAATAAATCCAATAATTCATGCATTATTACACAAACATGAATCATAACGATGAATTAGGATTAATAAAAACCAACGATATGATCCCTGAAAAATTCAACTTTACAAATTTTTAAATTTAGGAGTGTTGGATATTGAAAAGCCAATGCAAACATTCCTGCAATAGCAGACCAAGTAAGCGCCCCCCCCCCCTCTCCAGTGAGACAAAGTAGCGCCCATAAGCGTGGCGTAGTACCTAGTGAGTGTGTCGTGGGACGATATACTGTACAAATGTTCTGTCAACTCTCACAAAACAGGTTGAATTGACAGGAAGGTTTCGAGATTCTGTCCCATTTCTGATCAGTGATGGCGCCCTAAATTTGGAAATCCCTCCCCCCCCCCCCCCCAACTCATTCAGTTTCCAGATCCGCTACTGCGCAATGGCAATTCATAAATTATTTTCATGGGCGTCGATATATTGTTTTAGCGTTATTTGACTCCCAGTATGACGCTCTCTGGCAAACAAAAAGTGGATTTCGTTCATGACCACACAAAAGACCGGATAATCTACCCATACAGACTAATCTTTGTGGAATATTTGTCTGTATGGTAGGGACTGATATTTTGTTCACTTATTTCAGGCGACAACGGGGCGGCACCCGTGAAGTGTACTGAAGTTCTTAAAAGTGTTTTAGAAGAATATGTTGTTGACAATTTACTGGATGTCTATATTGTAACCAAAGATGACTTTATATTCACCCTCTTGATGACATCTTGGTAAAAACAGACTTGAAAATATTTGTCATGGTTATTGCGATTTTTATGCCATGGGGACTCGTATCGTGTGTTTGCATCCGTTAATAGAAAATACATGCGTAATCGCAGGATCCGTCCATAGACGCTCTTCGAAAAGGGCCTTAGGCTCCACCAATACAAATGCGATCGCGGTTAGGTTTAAATATTGAGGCCACCTGCAGATTTCGTCATGGTCACGAGAGGTAAACAGTGCTAGCGCTAACCCTTACTCTAACCCACAATCGCGTGCCCTAAGGGAAAACGATGGGAGGATATTTACCTGTCGAAATTATGTTCTGTTATTTAATTGGTCAATGCAGATGTAACTAAAACAGAAGAACGAACGCCAATGTTTCTAATACACTGGTTTGCGAAAACGACACATGCAATTAATGCGGTTAATTGTAGTTGTGGAAATTTCTAATGAATGGTCTACAATTTATATTTTTTTTTATATTTAGTAATGACACGTTTGACAAAATATAAAGAATAGCCTAAAATTTATATTTTTTTTATATTTAGTAATGACACGTTTAACGAACTATAAATGATGAACAATGTCTAAAACATCAATTATTTGCGATCATTCTTAGATGTTTAGTTCTTGTGCCTTGTTTTATTTCCTTTAGCATTTCTGTTTTTGTTGGTTTATATTTCTTATTTTTGTTAGTTAATTTTTTTTATTTTTGTTAGTTAATTTTTTTTATTTTTGTTAGTCCATATTTCTATTTTTGTTTATATTTTTTTTTTATCTATCGGAGTTCTGATATCATTTCAGCTACATGTCGTATGCGCTTTGATTTTGATATTTAAATGGCATAAATAAAAGGATTAAAATAATGGCCTATAAACTTATGTAAATAAAATGAAATGAGGTTTAACGCCCTACGGTTCTGCCCCGACTGGGCTTTTCCGGCGTGGTTCCCCCTTCTCAGTGATGCAAGACGGAGGGTCTGACAAGGACAGCTGTCTAGTCGTTCGGTTATATTGGAATGCACGTAAAAGATCCCCTGACAGTTGGAATTCGATATAAGGGTAGGCGATAGTGCCACTGCCCGGGCTAAATTTCCCTCATAGCACACTGTCTGGCGTATGCCTGTCTTCATTAGCCCAGTATAGGAGCAGAACAGTAGTACTTTAAACCCCATTTCATTTCATTTCATTTCTGATATTATACGGAAAGGGAATTTCAAAGATTTGTCACCATTTAATTTCGATACACCATAAACCGGGTCATTGTTGGATTAACGAATGGTTTATCTTTATTTCAATTATTTTCTGTGCGCACGTTTCTTTAGCTGTGGGGAGGGGTCCCGGAGAAGACAGATCATTGGTATTAGGCAGGTTACCCTATTCCTTTATCATTGGGGAGGAAATCTGAGGAGAAAACCCCCCTGGCATTAGACTGGCCACTCTACTCCTATAGCACTGGTATTAGGCGGGCTCCCCTACTTCTTTTCACCTATAAATATTGGATTGAAACCAGCACCCTGTCATCGACGACGAACCCTATGATATGAAGCAGATACATTAGACAACTAATAACATACTTCTCCCCCCTCCCCTCCCCTCCCCTCCCCTCTGAACCATAAACAAATAATTCCCTTTCTACAGTAATTACACAGCACAGATGATTGACACTTTTTAACACCGGAATTCATCAGCAGCCATAGTTGTCTATGCATGCATCTCTCTCACGACGGAGCCACGGTGGCTAAGTGAGTGAAACGATTGCTCGCTAGTCTGGAGGTCGCGAGTTCGCTCCCCGTGTTGCCCGTGAATGTTCTTTGGGATTTTCCGGCGTGGTTTCCCCTTGTCAGTGGTTCAGGGCAGCTGTCTAGTCGTCCGGAGGGGGCCAAACACGAGGTCCCGTGTACACAATGGTGTTCACGTAAAAGATCCCTTGGCAGTTGTAATTCGATATAAGAGTAGGCCGCAGCGCCGCCATGCGGACAAGGTTTCCCTCATAGCACACTACATGGCGTATACACGTCTTCGTTAGCCCAATTGGTAGGACGTTAAACCCCCACTTCATTTCATTTTTCTCTCTCAACACCCATATAGTACCTTAAAGTCAGCTTGCTCAAGAGGGATTTTGCCGACAAGGCTTAAGATATGTGAACAGAAACCTGTTCCTGTATTTTAGAATATGATTTTGCAATCTTTCCATTTACGGCCTTAAGACATGGAGTGGTTTAGTTTTTCCCTGAATTTAATATTAAAAAAAAACCATGGAGTTTGGTAGTGGATCAAAAGACCCAGCACTCATAGTTGTCTAAGACAGCCCCCCCCCCCCTCCCCCCTGCAAAAAGTTTTGCACCACCACCCCTCCCCCGTGAAAAAAATTCGACCATAATAAAAATAGATATACATTGTTTGTCAATTTTACACCACCCCTGAGAACACTTCCTGCCCCCTCGTTGCTCTGAGCTAGTTACGGCCCTGGTCTTAGAACATTGTTCGCGTTCAGGCGGCGAATTCTCAGATATATCCGTAACCGTTCCTTGATATATTGAGATACTGTTATTAATGTCTCTATTTAGTATGTACATATTTATATATTTATCATAAACAACTACACTGTCTATCTGAATAGTTTTATTTTCTGAAATAGGTTATCGTTTTTATAGATAATTGGCTACAAACTCAACTCCATTTGCGGCATTTTCCATTTTACTGCCTTCTCGATAATGGGCAATAACCACAGCTGAAATATAAATATCATCTTCAGTGAATAAAATTTTGAAAGTCTGCAAGAACTCATATTTCTTAACCCCTATCTGAATTCCCGTGATACGTCTAGTTTCGTTACTAGCTTGGGGATCACGGTGGCTAAGTGGGTAAGACGCTGGCTAGCTAGCCTGAAGGTCGGGTGTTCGATCCCTGCATTGGCCGAGAAAGTTCATTGGGATTTTCCGGTGTGGTTCCCCCTTGTTGGTGAAGCAGGGCAGAGGGCCTGACAAGGACATCTGTCTAGTCGTTCGGATGGGACGAAAAACCGAGGTCCCGTGTACACATTGGCGTGCACGTAAAATATCCCTTGGCATTTGGAATTCGATATAAGAGTAGGCGATAGTGCCGCTGCCCGGGCAAAATTTCCCTCATAGCACACTATAGGAACATAACAGTAGGACGTTAAACCCCATTTCATTTCATTTCATTTATTTTTTTGGTGATCATCCCATCCCCAACGACGCAGCCTGTACTCCCTTTTACCCCCGCCCCGCTCTCCAATAATTTTTAAACATATGTTTATCAGTTTGAAAATTCTCTCGGGGATACTGTAATTATTCTAGATCTTTGCCTTTTAAAACAACAAGATGCACTCAAACGTACAAACTGTGGGATTATCTATCAAAAACTTACTTGAAATCGTCTCCCAAAACATTTTAATACGAAGCACCCCCCCCCCCCCACACACACACACACACACACACACCACCACCATATTGATAGATATGACGTGATTAATTGAGAATCAATTGGGGTCATGTATACTGTCTGTTTACAATAAATATCGGCACCTAAGCAAAACCTAGATTATCCTCGGTCAACTTTCCGTCATTTAATCGCCTACTTGAAGTTTTATTTCCGCATTGTCCCCACAACCGTTCGCCATTAGATCAACAACACATTAGTAGCGCCATTTAAGGATACCACCCATTGTATTCTAGCAAGGTTGTCTCTACTTTCCATACCAAAGTAGCCATAAATTTATTGGATAAGTATTGTTACGGAAATGTATATTTAAAAAGAAATGATTTACCTCGCTTTGTACTCATCATTACAATGCCACCGTTTTTTGCCTTCCTAGCGAAAACCTAGAATGTAATAAACAGTAAAAATGTAATCTTTAAATCACCCTATAGAGATCATCTGGATCAAGTATTTGCTCATTTATCTGAACATATGAACCTAGTTTGTAAAGATAAATCTAGAATTTTTATTTATCAAAGCATCTATATTATAAAGTACTGTCTATTGTAAATTCCATTGCTTAGAACGATTCATCAACTCAGTTCATTAATGAGATTCTAAACACAAACGAATCTTATTCTAGAACTAACTCTGTTGGTCAATCATTCGTGTCCGTTGTTCAAATTTCATTGTATTCTATATCAAACCTTACTAGCTACTGCTGCTAGATATAACATGTAGTAACAAGTATACAATATGTACATGCTTATAATATGGAGATACAACACAGAATATATATATATACTTGTAATAAGAAATATAGAGCGGAGGGATTTTTTAGGATAATATATTTGGAGTACATTTGAGGTAAAGGAAAAGTATTTTCATGAAAAGATTCAAGTTATTTAAAGTTTTATTTAAAGAGTACCGTAACGAATTCTATAGTTTGGGTCCTTTAAAACGTATACTGCTTTTAACTATATTAATGGTTGGCTTGAGAATAGTAAGTTTATTGTTAAGATGATTATAAGGAGTTTGATAATAAGGTAAGAGGTCAAATAAGTAATTAAAGACAACATCGTCTTGTATGTGCAATGAATGCTCCCCCGGTTTTATACCCGTTGCTAGGTACCGCGTCATCACGTAACACAAACATGACTTCTTTATAGTAGGGTTATACGCGGGTTAAAACAATGTTTTGAGTAGGATTTGAAGGAAAATTTTGATAGATTAATTAGTTTGCTTTTTAGTCCAAATATATCAATATCATCACACCACCCGGTTTGTACACGGAAAGGTGAGAGAAAGAGAGAAATGGGGTTTAACGTCCACTCGACACAAACTAGGTCATTTCGGGACTAACATATGGTTCAATTTTATTTCCATAATTCGCTTGCGCGTAAGGGTCTTTAGCAGTGGGATGAAACCGGAGGACCCAGAGAAAACCCACGAGGCTGGACAGGCGACCCTACTCCTTGTCACGTACAACCGGGGATTCGAAACCACGCCAGTTGACTCAATGACAGACTTTATGATACAGCGCGCACGTGCTAACCATTCAGCCATCCAACCCCCCACACGGAAAGGTATCTTTAAGTATTTATTAATAATACTCACTTCATTGCCATTCAGTACTTTCGAAACCTGATAATTAACACCACTAACACTGACACCGGCCGTCTTAAGGGCGGCGAAATCTTTAGATTTAAAGGCACGCGCAATTGAATCCACTTCCGCCTGAGTCATTTTTAACGCCTGAAAAAAACATCAATAAGCTTTCTATCTTGACAAATACGTACAGTCTAGTTTACATATTACATACAAGGCGACAATTCAAGACAAAAATACACAAAAATGATTTTAATTTCCAGGCTACAATGTGTAAATTAAGACCTAATATTATGAGTATGGGTTTATGAAGTACATGGGGGGATCACGATGGGTAAGTGGGTAAGACGCTGGCTCGCTAGTCTGGAGGTCGAGAAAGTTCATCCAGATTTTCCGGCATGGTTCCCCCTTGTCAGTGATTCATGACGGAGGGCCTGACAAGGACAGCTGTCTAGTCGTTCGGATGGGACGAAAAACCGAGGTCCCGTGTACACATTTGCGTGTACGTTAAAGATCCCCTGACAGTTGGAATTCGATATAAGAGTAGGCCGTAGTGCCGCTGTCCGGGCACAATTTCCCTCATAGCAGTATAGGAGCAGAACAGTGGGACGTTAAACCCCATTTCATACGACATGATAATGAGTATTTTACATGGTATCACACATAATGCCTGATATTATGACACTACAATTGTTGTGTTGTTTTAGTAGGCGTTTCTGTATTTTTAATATTTAATTTGAAACCATTGTTGGAAAACTGTTCAAATCCGGTGAGAATTATAGAAAACTATTGGGTTTCTACTGTTGTGTAGTTTAAATGGTCTGTCTAGATTAGATAAAGAATGATGGGTTTATAGTGTTGAGTAATTAATTTGTCTTTTAATGACTCAACACCAGCTTTTGAGAAACTAAATAGTCATAAACCAAACAATGGCTTAAAACTATACATGAAATACAGAAACTACTGCTAAAACAACACAACTAAATGATACATAAGTTGTAGTGTGAATATCCCTTCGGTGGGGAGAGAGAGAGAGAGAGAGAGAGAGAGAGAGAGAAATGGAGTTTAACGTTCACTCGAAACAAACTAGGTCATTTCGGGACTAACATATGGTTTAATTTTATTTCAATAATTCGCTTGCGCGTAAGGGTCTTTTGCAGTGGGAGGAAACCGGAGGACACGGTTGGATGACCGAATGGTTAGCACGTGCGCGCTGTATCATAAGGCCTGTCATTGAGTCAACTGGCGTGGTTTCGAATCCCCGGTTGCACGTGACAATGAGTAGGGTCGTCTGTCCAACCTCGTGGATTTTCTCCGTGTCCTCCGGTTTCCTCCCACTACAAAAGACCCCTACGCGCAAGCGAATTATTAAAATAACATAAAACCATATGTTAGTCCCGAAATGACCTAGTTTGTGTCGAGTGGACGTTAAACCCCATCTCTCTCTCTCTCTCTCTCTCTCTCTCTCTCAAGAAATGTTATAAGCGATGAGATTTAATTAGATATATTACATCTGCTGCGCCCGATGATGTCCATCTGGTTCGATCTAGACCAATTATGGAAGCTGTATCTACATGTGCAGTACCACTGGAATCTTTAGACTGAGCAATGAGGTAATATATATACGGATCCCAATCGTTGCTAAAATATATAACGATTAACATCCTGTAATCTTCAACCTAATTATATGTTTTTTAAATTTGTTAATTAGAAGTAGGTTAAAGGGACAATAATACTCTTGCTGGCTTGACAGCTCCAGTAAATAAATATTAGCCTTATTCTAAGTATTAGATGTTTAAGTGTCCTACCTGTTGTGTAAATTATCCATTACATCCTATTTTACTTGTCCAGAGGGTTCGAAAATATTTTTAAATCCAAGTCACATTTGAAAAGGTTTACGTTAGGCTTTTCAAATCATTTATTTGAATTTTTCCAATTTTTTAAATTAGGCGTGTTAAGATGAAATTTGTATCATCAATTAATTGGAATATTGTAAAATAGTACAATTTGTTGACCAGAATAAATATTGGGACATATTATTCTGTTACAACAAGAGTGGTATTGAGCCTTTAACTACTACTTACACACGAAGACTCTAATGGCGCAATTATGCATTTTATCGCATCGACGCATCCACCCTTTTAGGCGTCGATGGTTAACATAACAATGGTCATTTTCTGCCATCATACTACCCAAGGTGTGATCAAGTCGGGTTAAGCTATATGTGATATTGTGATTTATTCTATATTTTCCAAGTTGAAATTGATTTTTTTATCTAAACTTACCAAAAGCACGAATTAACCAAACATAGAGCCAACAAGCTTGCCAACAGAGTCTTTACTTGAGCCATGCTGGAAATAATATAAATTAGAATGTTTAAATGTTTCTGTGAACGAGATCATGTCGGGGTTGGCATATATAAATATATATCTATTTCATAAGGGCTCGGATCACCTGGGCATCCCTCACAAAGTTCGGAAGACCGCCCTACTCGTTTTCAGATACACACATTGGAGTCCATCCTGTAACCTTGTTATGATACACAAATTGGAAATGAAACGAAATAAAATGGGGTTTAACGTCCTACTGCTCCTATACTGGGCTAATGAAGACGGGCATACGCCATACAGTGTGCTATGAGGGAAATTTTGCCCGGGCAGCGGCACTATCGCCTACTCTTATATCGAATTCCAACTGCCAAGGGATCTTTTACGGGACCTCGGTTTTTCGTCTCATCCGAAGGACTAGACAGCTGTCCTTGTCGGCCCCTCCGTTCTGCACCACTAACAAGGGGAAACCACGTCGGAAAATCAAGATGAACTTTCGCGGCTAATGCAGGGATCGAACACCCGACCTCCAGGCTAGCGAGACAGCGTCTTAACCACCTAGTCACCGTGGCTCCTAAGTTTAAGAAAAGGGATCGAACACCCGACCTCCAGACTAGCGAGACAGCGTCTTAACCACCTAACCACCGTGGCTCCTAAGTTTAAGAAAAATGCGCATAATATACTTACCTTTATTTTACAGATGATGAACACTCTAATGCTGATAGTCGCCAATAATACCCAAAGCTTATAAACATTACTTATATAGAGAATTTGAAGGCATCAAAGCACGAAATTAATTTATGACACAAAGAGGTGTTATTGATTTTCTATTATCATTTTAATAATGGTAATTTATGTTACAGTCGTTAAAAATATTTATGAGTCATTCCATGAGAAAACTATTCAAAAACGTGCAGAATCGGGAAAATCAGGGGTCGGCAGATCGAATTCATCTCGCGGGGACTCGCCCTGACTACTTCACAGCCAAAAGGGCCGATCTCAAAATTTCACGGTTATTGAGATACAGCCTCTGTGTGATTTTTGGCCAATTTCCCCTTTTTCAGGTCATTTTTGGTCAATTTTTAGTCGCGAGTCGAGTTTTTGGATGAAAATTGTGATGATTGGTGATGTGAGTGGCGGTCCAATGGTCCATATGTGCCCCAATTTGACGACTATAAAGTCGTGTAATACTATAGGGGTTATTTTAGTTCTATGAAAGGTGCTCTGTTTAATATATTACAGTGGTTAAACAAATGGGTGACAACGAGAAATGGGCTAAGTAGGTATTTTGCAATATTCAAATTTCTTACACAAACTCACATCATCAATTGCTGACAGTAAGGTACTATCGTCCAGTCATCCCGTGCACAGATGTGTCCAATTAAATAGAATAACGTTGACGTAAAACGGTGCCCATACGAAACAATTACCCAAAAATGGTAATTGCCCCGCCCTAATAGCTGATCGACGTATCTATACTTTTTATATAAGAATGAGCGGGGTTACATTTCCCTTCAGACATTAAAATTTACTTTTCTCAGAACAATCATCCCACATTCTCCTCTGCTGAGAGGCTGGGTAACAACCCGGCAAAACACAAGCTAGGGGATAGAGAACTTATTTTTAGCTTATATTTAATGTCATAGTTGTGTGTAGAAACCACACTAGTTGACTCAATGACAGACCTTATGATACAGCGCGCACGTGCTAACCATTCGGCATCCCACCCCCATGGATATTATAAAGATATAAAAAGATAGATAAACCAACAAAGTGTTCCAGAGTTAATTGATCACAGCGTAAATTCCTACCCAGAAGTGTCACAGGGCCCTGCTTTTCCCGAGGTCAACGGTAGTCACCCGGTAGATGTGCGAAAGTACAATATTGAGCAATATCAATTTCAAAGAGAAAGTAGAACAATATAGCCTACGTGGTCTTGGTCAGATAAACATAAACATGCCAAAGTTACGTCTTTCGTGTCGACGTGAAATAGATAGACTTGTTTGTTTCTTGTCGCTCTAGTCATAGATCCCACACAGGATAATCGAGAGTCTACTGGAACAATTGGAGAGAGAGAGAGAGAGAGAGAGAGAGATAGAGAGAGAGGGGGGTTTAACATCCACAAACTAGGTCATTTCGTGACTAACACATGGTTCAATTTTATTTCAATAATTCGCTTGCGCGTAGGGGGTTTTAGCAGTGGGAGGAAAATGGAGGACCCGGAGAAAACCCACGAGGCTGGACAGGCGACCCTACTCCTTGTCACGTACAACCGGGGAATCGAAACCCCGCCAGTTGTCTCAATGACAGACCGTAATGTTAATTTGTATGACCTCTGTTGACAATATTTGCGATTAAAATACGTGATAATACATCAACGGGGGTAATAAACAAATAAAATAAAATAAAATTAAACAACATCAAAGTATATTAACGGGGTAATCATCTATAAACAAATATAATGAAACAAAATTAAACTACATAAAAGTATATCAAAGAGGGTAATCATCTATAAACAAATAAAATGAAATAAAATTATTAAACTAACATCAAAGTATATAAACGGGGGTAATCATCTATAAACAAATATAACGAAGTAAAATTAAACTACATCAAAGTATATCAACGGATTAATCATCTATAAACAAATAAAATGAAATTTTTGTTTAAAGGGACTATCTCGATTTCAAAGAGTCTCAAAAATAAGTACGTATGAAATTTAAGCGCCAAAATATAGAGGAATGGTGTATTTACCTTCTCTCAAAATTCCAGCTCAAATTATTGAGCCGTTTGGACGTGAAC